CCAAAAAAAAAAAAAAGAAGAAAAAAACTCATAAAATCAACATGTTTTGAACCCCCAACAAAAAAGTACAACACAGCTAAAACGTCAAAGAACAGCAACACAAACAAACTGAGCAAGTAAAGAAAATCACAAGACAGCAGATCTGCGCAACTCCCCTTGGCCATGCGCGAAATGGCACCTCTCCCCAAACGTACACGACCCCTTGTTGAAATTCTCACAAATCTTGGTCTTGTAGTTGTTCCCAAACCCACCACCGCCTCCACCACGGCCAGCAGCGCCTGCCCTAATATTGACTATCAGCTCCTGCACCATCCGGCTCGCCTCACTCATCTGCTCGAAGCTGCCTTCCAGCTCAATGTTCCTCAGGTTTGCGTCCGTCTCGTGGTCCCTCACCGACAGCTTGGCCCCTGTCATCCGGCATATCTGCTTCGAGTTCACCCCACCCTTCCCGATCACCGCCCCTGCCAGAGAAGCATCAATGCTGATCTTGGCAGTGGCCAATGCCCCGAAGCCCGCCGGTGGGTTCGGCGGGCCGGGATCTGCCCAATTGCCGCCGCCGCCGCCAAACCTTCTTCGGGGTTCGTCATGTGGCTGTGGTGGGGCTGCTGCAGCAGGCTTCCCAAGCTCCCACTCGCCGTGGGCAAAATGGCACTGGTCCCCAAACTTGCAGCCCTCGGCCGTCTTGAACTTGTTGCACAGGCGAGTCTTTATGAAGGGGGCAGGAACGGGTCCAGGCCCAGGCCCAGGCCCAGGCCCATCTTGGAAAGGAGCGGGAGGGGGTGGCATCGGGTTACGAGGCGCAGAAGGGAGGGCCGGGTTGTTGCCGAGTATCTGGGTGACGGCCTTGATGCCACCAGGGACATAATGCAGGAAGTGGCAACCGTCACCGAACGGGCAACCGGAAGCACTGCATGCCAAGTGGATAGAATCAGTTAATTATTGCAAAAATAGAACTATAAGTACAAATTAAAAAGCCCATTTCTTTCTTGAGTTCCAAACTTCATAGCATCTCCAATGCTTAAATGCTTCAATTTCTGTTTCTATTTATTATATGCCATAAATATACCTAGCATTATTTGAAATATATTTGGACCACATCGAAATAGACCA